TCTTGGGCGCAGGGGCTTCATCTGTCAAACCAGGCTAAAGTCACTTTAACCTGCAGATATGGAGGAAGAGGCAATACTTTTAAAACCCTATACATTGAAAAATCTCTTGTGCTCCTTGAAAGGAAAATGATTAGCAACTATCAAAGTGAGAGATTTTTCAAATTCCCTTCCAGTCCAGCCTATGTGCTGTGATCAGCGTAAGTGTCTGAAAGCAAAGCTTGCTGAGAAGTGCCTGCAAGCTGACCTCCCCCTGCACAGAACATGGCTTCCTATTTCCAGTTGAGTTCAGTCCCAATGGCCAAGGTATACAGGGAAAAAGCTTCAAAACTTGGCCCCTCCTCACTGTATTTCTAGTATTCCTTCTTGATACTCCCACCTCTACCCTACCCTACATGTCAGAGGTTAGCAAATTACAGCCCATGGGCCAAATCTGGACTTACGCCTGTTTTTGTGATTAATGTTGTACTGGAATATGGCCATGCTCATTTGTTTATACATTGTCAGTGGCTGCTTTTGTATTACAAAGGCAGAGTTGAGTAATTGTGACAGAGACCGTATGTGGCCTCTTGGCCCAAAAAGCCTAAAATATTTATTATCTGGCCCTTTATGGAAAAAGTTTGCAGGCTCATGCTATAGACTAGTCTTTTTCAGACTTTTTTGGCCATTGCTTACAGTAAATACATTTTGCCATGTGACCTACAATGCACATACATACACGTGTGCATATTTATATACACACGCAAAATTTTCAGAACAATATTTTTACCTCATTCAATGCACTCTAATAGCTGCTATTCTATTTTTCAAAGCTGTTTATCATATTACATTGATCTCATGACCCCAAATGAGTCTCAATCCATATTTGGAAAAACAATGTTTTAGAAAAATTCAGCAATTGGCTACTTATAACACATGTCCCCTGCTCTCCCTCCTCTATTCCTTTCTTGACATCACTCCCTCCATCTGGCAAGGTCTTCTTTCATCACTATGTGCACAGATCATCCCCATTCTTTAAGCACTAGCTTAACTCCCATCTCTTTCATGAAGACTGCTTTAAACCTCTAGTCGAAAAGCATTTTCTCCTTTTCTTACCTCCCGTAGCATATTTTCTACTCCCCTATTGTGGCACTTCAAAGTTTCTGCTTTGTAGAATAGTCATCTGTGCATCTTTCTTATTATGTCCCCTAAAAAACTCAGAGGTTCTTAAGGGTGTGGTCTTAAGCATTTTGTATTCTACACACCATCCAATACAATGCCTTGTATTCTAAGAACTGAATTAATATTTATTATATTGAAGTAAGCAAATATTTATTTCTAAGTGTATAACATGGTTTACAGATGTAATATTTTATCTCTTAATAAAGACTATATGGTATAGGGTATATTGTAAGCACTCGATAAATGCTTATGGAAACAGAGAGGGAGGGATAATGTGGACTTATCAGTTTCCATTCCTGTTGCTAGATTTGTGCTGTTGTTGTTTTACTAACCAGTGAGGAGAATTTTTGTATATAATATATAATTTCTGGTTTTTGAATCATGGTCATGGGTTTAAGCACACAGAACACCAAAGAGGAAGGAAATTGTTCTATTTGTTAGAGCCTCAGCAGAGAAAGGGTGTAACAGATTTGGCTGTCCCATGCAAAGCTTCCATCTGCACATCCTGAGTTCTCACAATAGCACTTGAGAGAGTTTGATATGGTCTCTTTTTGTCCAAGGAAACAAAGATGCATGCCATCCCTCCTGGACTATTAATGGTAATACTGCTGAGTCTAATTGATTTTGGTAAGAGCAAAAAATATCCCAAGAAGAAATTCCTTCATGAACCCAGCATGACCTGAAACACTCAAAATGACCATTTAGAGTAGTTTTACTATAATCTGTTTAAGCATCTCCATATAGGACTTATTCTCAGGAATTCAGTTATAGTTTGATATCAAGAAATCAATCATGATATTTCATTACATTCACATAATAAAAGGGAAAATATATTAAAATATCACCAGATTCTGGCAGGGCACCTGATAAATCCAACAGACACTTCTAGTAAGACTCTAAATAAAATGGAATTAGAAACAACAATCTATATAAACATGATAAAGATTTTACCAGTGTTAAAAAGCAATAATCAAAATAGGTGGTAAAATACTATATTCACTTCCATTAAAATTATTATTTATTTATTATCATTTATTTTGAAGATGATAGCTAATGTAATAAGATAAGAATATGAAATAAATACAAATATTAGAAAAGAAAACACAAAAAAAGTCTTTTAGTGAGAGATTATATGACTATACCTTAAAAACCTAAGAGAATGCAGGGTTTTCGGAAAAGAAAACACTATAATCACTAACTAAATGTGCTAACGGGGTTGCAAACCAGAGAAAAAGCACATTAATCAATAGCTTCTCTTTATATAAGCATTAAACAAATTAGAAAAGAAAATGAGGACAGCGGCATCAAAGTTATTCAAAGCTATATAGGACATATGACCCAGTTTCTTCAGTGAATAAATGATAAGGGGAATATGTGGCAAAAAAAATGCAGATTAAAAGAGAATTAAGAGACATATCAACAAATTACAATGTAAGATCTTTTAGATCCTAATTGCTGGGGGTGGGGTCAGGGGTGACGAGGACAAGGAAAATCATTAAGAAGTTACTTTTGGAGTTCCATTTGTGTAATCCTATTTAAGATATGGAAATCTGCAAGAGAAAATCATTCCAATCTTAGCAATGAGAAAAGGCAACGAAATACACAAAATAATATATTTAGTTGAACTCATCAGAGATCTGACATGATAAGGCAATAAAGTAAAGTGAATTTCAAAGAGCAACAAGTACTCCAAAGAGAGACAGGACACAAAAATTCTCTCATCTTTGGCAGAGCACAGGAGAAAAAGGAGGCTTCCATACAAGCAGATGATAAGAAGTCATATAAGAGTTTTAAAAATTCTTAAAAATCAGGTGTAGCTTATCATGTTAGTTTAAAATCATGTGGAGTTCCAGATACAAGAGACATACTTCCAAGTTTTTTTCCCACAGACCTCCACTTGATGCTCACAAGAAAGATTAGAAACAGGGAGGGAAACCTGGTGGTGTAGGCATGCAGGAGATGATCACCTGCTACTGAGAGACAAGCATTCACCTGTTACCGAGAGACAAGCACGAAGCCCTTCCACTTCCCCAAATCCATCCCTCATATGAAACAAAAGCTTTAAGCTCCTGAGTGTACAGGCTGAAAAGCTTCTCATCCCAAGGGCCCAGCAAAGATGCCTTGCAACTAGGGGAGAGGCAGAAGTAAAAAACCCTCTTCCCCTAGGGAGAGGGTAGAAAATCTTCTTAGGCTCAGAATCCTACAACAATACTAAGTGGAGGTCACTGCCACTGCAGAAGGTTCAGGAGCCTGGTGATTTGTGTCACAGACATTCAGTAAGGCTGAAAGCTGAGGATGAAACAGGAACACTTCTCTAGCATCTCATCCCTAGTTTTAGCACACAGTAAAAGTAACCCACTGCTGGAGGAATTTGAAGGCTGTAACATGCTAAAGGTTATAAAAGAAACAATAAAACCAAACCCAGCTCATCTCCTGCCTAGATTAATTTAACCTTCCACATTAATGACCTGAAAGAAAAGGTGTGCCCATTTCTGGGCATAAATACTATTGACCTGACTATTTTCTGTTCTTATCCACCTACTGTCTAGCATTCAATAAAAAACTATGAGATCCACAAAAAGGAAGAAAAAGCAAACTCTTGTCAAGACATAAAGCAGTCAACAAAACCAGAGTTGGAGATGAACCAGATATTGAAATTATCAGACAGGGAGTTTAAAATAACCATGTTTAACAAGTTAAGTGATCTGTTGGAAAAGATAAACAACCTACATAAATAGATGGGGAAATTTATTAGAGAGATGAAAACTATTTAAAAAGAGTCAGAGAGAAACATGGAAATAAAAAAACACATCATCCTTCAACAGGCTCATCAGCAGAGGAAAGAATCAGTGAACTTAAAGATATTCTCACAGAGATTATCTCAACGGAAACACAAAAAGAAAAACAAGTGAAACAAACCAGAACAATGAATGTAAGAGCTCTGAGGTAACATCTATGGTCACAAATTATCTAACATATGTGTGACTGGAGTCTCAGAAGGAGTAGAGTCAGAGAATGGGGAAGGAGAAATATTTGAAAACATAGTGGTTGAGCATTTTCTAAAATTAATGAACAAAAATAAATGACAGATTCAAGAATTCAAGACAGCCCCAGGGTTACACACACACACACACACACACACACAAATACATGTGTGCATGCACATGCACACACACATGTACACATATGCCTGTTAAAAACCAAAGATAAAAAGAAAATATTGAAGGCAGCCAGAGGCAGGGGATTTGGGGAGGTACATTACATACAGAGGAATAAAGAAAAGAGTTACATCAGACTTCTTGGAAACTATGCAGGCCAGAAAACAACAGTGTGACATCTTTAAAGTGCAAAAAATACATATTTTTTAACATTTTGGGTATGATAACATGGTACTGTGGTTATGTTTTTTTTCTGTAGAGCCCTTATATTTAAAGATTCACACTGAAATACTTATGGATAAAATAATAAGCTAAGGGAGATTGCTTTACTATAATCAGGAAGGAGGGCTCCCCTTGTGCATGGGGATAGAGAGAATGCAAGATTAACCACGAGCTGATGATGGTTGAAACTGGATGATAGGCACATGGGGATTCAATATGACATTTTCTCTATGCCTACATTTTTTAAATTTCCATAGTAGAAATATTTTTTAAGGAAATTTTTAAAAAGAAGAAAAAATGAAATGGGAAAAAGAAGTATCATAGCACAGTTCCTACTAGGTTTCTCTGATTTTTGCTTCTGATTAACTCGTCCTCCAACCTTTGATTCACAGAAGGTTCACAGGTCTCCAAACTGGGGTCACAGAGCTCCCAACAACAACAACAAAAACCAACAAAGCCTACCAGTGCCAAAGCTCTCTTCTCCACAGAGGGAGCACCGTCCCGAGTCCATCAGATTTGAGAAGAATCTCCATCCAGCTGGGGTCTCATACACAGGGACCTTCATTGATTTGGCCACTCTGCAAAATGAAATTTGAGACAACAGTCGATTCAAATACCTCACTTCCTTTTATTTCTCAGCACAGCAGGAAGTCTTTAGGATCCATTAATTCCGTAGCTAGATTTCAAAACATCTTGTACAGTGTTGACAGTTTTTAGGATGTCAAGCCATAAGTCAAAGAATGATAAATATCCTGTTCCAATGATTCTCCATTTGCTTTGTCCATGATGTAGAAAATATTAAGTTAATATAGGGGATATTATCACGTTCGTTTCCCTCCTATAAATTTTTCTTTATCTTTTTGGTAAGAGTTCACTTGGGGATATCAGAATTTAAATTAAGATGGTATTTGGGTATAAGCACTTTGGAATAATGTTTGATAGTATCTACTAATGAACATGCCCATGTNGGCAGAAGTCCATAGGGCCATTTTAGCTCACAAGCTCCCCACAGGTTGACTGAGGACTTTAGTGTAACTGCGTTACTATCCAACTTCTCTCTGTCCAGTTCTCCTTCCTTACTCCCCCATAGGTGTTGACCTCAACGACAGAAAGTAATAAACTTCCTGTAAGAAAATTCTCTCTGAGCTGCTACCTGGGGACCCCAGTGTGCAATATAACACAACAGAGTATGTACATGAGGTTTTACAAAAAACATCATAACATCACTCTTTGGAAAAAACTGAAACAACCCAAATGTCTATAAAAGTAGTATGGACAATTTGTGATATAAATGTAATACCATAAATGTCATTGAACAAACTATTGCTATGTGCGACAACTTGAATGAATCTCACAAACATAATATTGAGTAAAAGAAGACAGTAACAAAGGAATATATACTGAATTGTTCCATTTATATAAAATTCACAAACAGCCCAAACTAATCAATGCAGACAAAATCCAGGCTCAGAAACAATAAATAAATAAATAAAGTCTCCTCAAATTACAAAAAAAAAAAAAAAAAAAAAAAATTT